ATTCAAACAATTTCTTGCTATCAATTCTCCCTCTGCTAGCAGCCCCTCCTTGCTTTGGGACACCGCTAAGGCATTTAGTAGAGGATTAATAATATCCTATAGGAGCAGCAAAAAACTAAGAATTACAGAACGACAACATATCAGAAAGAAAGCTTAGATTCACGGAAGAAGAATATGTTAAAAAACCCTCACGGTCTAAGTTGGGGGAGCTCAGTGCTATCCGGTGTTCACTAAACACATTACTAACACAGAACGGTCAAATTTGCCAAACAATGACTGTTTGATTATGGGGACAAACCAAGCAGATATCTCTCCTAATTTAAAAAAACGCGGAAGACCTCCCAAACAATTGGTTTAATTTCCGACCAGAGGGGTTCATGCTCTAGCCTGACGTAGTCCTACTCAATTCTAGTCAGAATATGAGTCTGATACTGCTCCATAGAGCTGTGATTATGGGGCGTTTTGAACGAACCAGGGAAAAAAATGCCTCTGCACTCAATTGGATAGACCTACAACCAATAAGAACAACGGAGTGCGTGACGTATGTTAAGTGACGCATAGTTGTTGTCAACAAAAATCAAAGCGTGCAGTTGCACGCCTAGAATAAGAAGATGAGCCTTGATCGCGTTTCTCTGTTCCTCTTTAAAAATTAATTTCCTGTCGATATCTTCTAGAACAGAGCTAATAGCAGAATCTACTCACCTCAACTCTCCAGCGGCAGCCTGCGAATTGAGACGCAGCCATTGTTGTTGTCACCCAAGCGCGCTTTGGTCACATGGTTGATTACATTACTGTTGACCATCTGTCCATCAGCGTATAAAGCCCGCCCTGACAATTTGATTGGATCGCCAGAGGGTGGGCGATCATACTCGCGCTACTATGGAGCAATGCCAGACCGAACTTCCCGACCTCAATCCTTGTGGGCGGGACTAAGTTCGGAATGGCACCCAGGCTATTCATGCTCTACAGACCCAGAGAAAATTAATGCAGCTTTCTTTGAATTATACAAAAAAATTATATCAATCCTAGCAATGTGAAAACTCCCAATCTTTAATGGAAGCATTTTTCTCAAAGATGAAATTGCCCAATCTACCAGAGGGCAAAAAGAAAGACCTAAATGCAGAAATATCAGAGGCACAGGTTGAAAGAGCAATCACATCCCTCCAGGGAGGGAAAGCCCAGGGCCCGGACAGGCTTACTTCGGAATTCTATAAAACATCTAAGTATTTGCTGTTAAAGTCCTATTTATCTATGCTGAATGACTCATTTGATAACGGTGTCCTCCTCCCACCCCTTCAGGAAGCAAATATATCCGTAATTCCTAAGAAATCTAAAAACCTCCAGAAAACTGTGGTGCTTACAGACCTATTTCATTGCTTTGAAAATACTATCCAAAATCCTAGCAACATGCTTGGAAAACCTTCTACCCATTTTGATAGGCATAGACCCAACAGGTTTTATCAAGGGTCGTAATTCCTGTAACAATATCAGACGTCTTTTGAATGTGATTCAGCTATATCAACGGCGGGCAATGGATGGCCTTGTAGTCTCCTTAGATGCAGAGAAAGCGTTCAACCGTGTGGAGTGGCCTTACCTTTTCCATACCCTGCATCAATTTGGATTGGTCCCGAATTTTATTAGTTGGATTAAAGTCCTCTACAGTTGTCCTTTAGCAGCAGTTATTACAAATAGAGTTAGGTCTAGAAATTTTGAGCTGGAAAGGGGAAACAGGCAGGGCTGCCCCCTTTCGCCTCTTTTATTCCCTCTCGCAATCGAACCACTGGCTGAAGCAATTCTTAGTGACCCCACTGTATACGGTGTCAACACTGATCGGGGAACCCATAAAATTTCTCTATATGCCGATGTTCTGTTGTTTCTCTCCAGACGTACCACTTTAGTCGAAAAGGGTCAACGCAATTATTAATCAGTTTGGTTCATTTTCGTGATACAAAATAAACTTCTCCAAATCCGAGGCCATGCCCCTGGGTCGACAACTCTATACCCCTTGCTCCCCTTTTAAATGGTCCCCTGCAGGATTTAAATATCTCTGCATATTTGTTACGCCTAACTTCAATCAGATGTTTAAAGCTAACCTTGTCCCATTATTTGAAAAAAATTAAGCTAGACCTCGAACGCTGGAATTGTCTTCCCATATCTTGGTTGGGCAGAATTTCGCTTCTTAAGATGACCATTCTCCCACGCTTGTTATACCTTCTTAGGATGATTCCTATCTTGTTTACCCAGAGGTGGATCCAAAAATTGAAGAGTTTGTTTGAATCCTTTATTTGGGCCAAAAGAAGGCCATTAATTAAAATGTCAACACTATAGCTACCAAGGAACATGGGATCTTCCAGATCTAAAAAATCAGTTGAGTTCTCTTATATTATATGCACGGGAGTGGATATCTGGAAATCAACCCACAGTGTGGCTGGACATAGAAGCCTCATTATGCGACTGCCCTCTTAAAAGCCTGCTTTTTGTTAAAAATATGCATACGATAAATAAATGTTGTAATTATCAAATTACCATGAATACAGTCAAAGCTTGGAGGGCGGTTCGACATATCGAGGTAAGAATTGGGAAAACATCCCCAAACATCCCCTTTTTTCCAGAACCCTGACTTTCTTCCGGGTATGACAGATGCAGGTTTTTGGGAATGGGTGGCTAAGGGTATCTCTTCTCTGGGCTGTCTTTTTAAGGAGGGGATCCTTATGTTGTTTAATCAAGTTGTGGAAGCTTTTGGAGTAGGGAAAAATAACCTCTTCCGTGTCTTCCAGATAGGAGACTTTGTTAAAAAAGAAACAACTCTACTCGGGGACACTGAGGTTTAGGGCATTGAAAATTTGTTTTTTCGGTACTCGTTAAGTGTCACTCAGTATATGCTATAAAATATTAAAATGTCATAATTATTACTTACCAACTGGCCCAGGCCTGGGGAGGAGAGCTGAATATCGAGATTACCGATGAAATGTGGAGCAGTATTTGGAACTCGGCCAGAAAAATTACTATCTGTAATCGCTCCTGGGCATTGCAACTTAAATTACTACAAAGAGCTCACTTGGCCCCAAACCGGGTGTCTAAGTTTAAACCTGGGTCCTCTTTACTGTGCCCTAAGTGCAAAATACATGAAGGCGGCCTCACACACTGACTGTGGTTATGCCCCAAGATCCAGTCATACTGGAAGTCTATTCTGATTGAGACTAGTAAAATCATCAAAACCAACATTGATCTTGATCTAGTGTCTTTTCTCCTTGGTTTACCAAATAAACATATCCAAAATCAACACAAGAGTAAGTTGTATAATGTCTTGACTTTCTGTGCAAGAAAGAATATCTTGTTACATTGGCTCTCTAATAAATCTCCCAGTATTTTTGCATGTAAGAAGCTTGTTTTGGAACATATCCCTCTTGACTTCCTAACGTGCCTCGTCCACTCTAAGACTGACATTTTTGGACGCATATGGAAGCCCTTTTTGGATTATGCTGAAGGACAGGTGTCTACTATTCTGTATTGGGCATTCATAAATGTTTAGATGTGGACTAGGGTTGTCACGATACTAAACTTTTCAACTCGATACCGATACTAAGGAAAATATTCGATACTCG